CTGGGGTGTCTTGGTGTCACCAAGGGTGCTCCAAAACCACGGGGAGAACCTCGGAACTGCTCTGGGGTGTCATGGTGTCACCAAGGGTGCTCCAAAACCATGGGGAGCACCTCAAAACTTCTCAGGGGACCCCATGATGTCACCAAGGGTGCTCCAAAAGGCCCCGCCCCCCGAGGACACCACCATGTCCCCGAGACAGGGGGTGAACGTCCCGCAAGGGGCCCCCCGGGCCGCCCCCACCTCAATGACRTCCTGCTTGGCCTTCTTGATGGTGTTCTGGATGTCCTGGTAGGTCTTGGCRTCGGCGATGGAGTCCCCAATGCCGATGGTGTGGCCTGCGGAGGGGCGGGGGTCACGCACAGCGTTCTGCACCCCGGGGTGCCCCCCCACCCCACAACCCATCTCCTTAGATGCTCCTCACCCCATATCTCACCTCCTTGGGGTGCTCCTCACCCCATATCTCACCTCCTTGGGGTGCTCCTCACCCCATATCTCATTTCCTTAGGTGCTCCTCACCCTATATCTCATCTCCCTAGATGCTTCTCACCTCATATCTCATCCCCTTAGCTGTTCCTCACTCCGTATCTCACCTCCTTGGGGTGCTCCTCACCCCATATCCCATTTCCTTAGATGCTCCTCACCCCATATCTCACCTTCTTTGGGTGCTCCTCACCCCATATCTCATCTCCTCAGAACGAGGAGCACCTAAGGGTGCTCCTCACCCCACARCYCATCTCCTCGGGGTGCCCCTCACCCCACAACCCATCTCCTCGGGTGCTCCTCACCCCATATCCCATCTCCAAGCATGGAGAGCACCAAGGCCGGGGCCAATGGGGAAGGGGCGGGCTGTTGCAGAGGGGTGTTGTTGCGACGGGGTGTTGTCGCCGCTCACCCTCGATGAGCAGCCAGTTGTTGATGACCGTCTGGATGTTGCTGTAGAAGAGGCGCGTGGTGTCGTGGCCCATCTCCAGGTAGGAGATGTGCACCAGGGAGCCGGCCGAGGTGCCCAGCGACTTCTTGCACAGGATGCCCATGATGAGCTCGCCGTTCTCCACCACCACCTGCGACGGGACCGCGCGCGGCGGCCGTGAGCGGCGCCCGACGTCCCCCAGCACCCGCAGAGCTTCGTGTCCCACCCAGCCACCCGAGAGACCCTTCCTGTCCCTCCTTGTCCCCCCAAAGCCACCTCGGAAGGTCCCCAAGCACCCTCGTAGACCCCCATGTCCCACCCAACCATCCCAGAAGATCCTTCTTGTCCTTCCTTGTCCCCCCAAAGCCACCTCAGGATGTCCCCAATCACCCTCATACACCCTCACGTCCCACCAACCACCCCAGAAGATCCTCCTTGTCCCTCCTTGTACCCAAAAAGCCACCCTAGGATGTCCCCAACTACCCTCAAAGACCTTCACATCCCACCCCACCACCCCATAAGATTCTCCTTGTCCCCCCAAAGCCACCTCGGGAGGTCCCCAATCACCCTCATAGACCCCCATGTCCCACCCAACCATCCCAGAAGATCCTTCCTGTCCCTCCTTGTCCCCCCAAAGCCACCTCAGGAGGTCCCCAACCACCCCCGTAGACCCCCATATCCCACCCAACCATCCCAGAAGATCCTCCTTGTACCCAAAAAGCCACCCTAGGATGTCCCCAACTACCCTCAAAGACCTTCACATCCCACCCCACCACCCCGTAAGATCCTCCTTGTCCCCCCAAAGCCACCTTAGGAGGTCCCCAAGCACCCTCATAGACCCCCATGTCCCACCCAACCATCCCAGAACATCCTTCTTGTCCCTCCTTGTCCCGCCAAAGCCACCTTGGGAGGTCCCCAACCACCACCAGTGTCCTCAACCATCCCTGTAGACCCTCACGTCCCATCCAACCACCCAGGAGACCCTCCTTGTCCCCCCAAAGCCCCCTGGGGATGTCCCGAGCACCCCGCGGCGGGCGCCACCTTGGTGTCCCCGGGCGAGATGTGCTTGTAGGGCCCGCTGTCCTCGTCGTCGGGGTGGGTGCTGTGGGTGCGGATGCAGTTGATGTGGCCGGGGATGATGAGCGAGAAGATCTGCTTGCCCGTCCAGAGCGGCCGCGGCTTCAGGATGGCCGGCTGGGGCACCTTGCCGTCCCACGTGGACAGGAACATGAGCAGGTTCATCACCTCGCCCTGCCGGCGACAGGCGGCCGGCATCAGCACGCCGCCTACAGCCGCGCGGGACCCCCCAAACCGGCGCGGGGGGACAACCGCCAGCCCCTGCTACCGCGCGGCGCTACAGCCGCCGCGGCCCGAAGACCACCCCCGCTTGCCAAGAGTACACCGCRTTACAGCCCAACCGCGAGCCCGCAACACCCCTACAGATCCTTACAGCTCCGAACGCTCTACAGCGGCACCCCAAGGGCCTGGAGGCCAGAAACAGCCTACGGGCACCCCAAAAACCCCCTCTACAGCCCCAGAATGTGCTACAATCACCCGAAAACAGCTGGAGACGGCAACACCCCACCAGCGTCCCTAAAATGCCTTCCTGGAGCCCAAGGAGGCTCTACAAGGGTCAAAAATACACCCGGATCCAAGGGATGAGGCCACAGACACCTCAAACGCTGTTCTACAGCCCGAGGATGCTCTACAACCCTACCCGAAACACCTGGAACGCAGGAATGCCCGATGAACACCCAAAAAGCCCTTGCTACAGCCCAAGGTGGCACTACAGCCGCACAAAAACACCTAGATTCTAGGAGACACACCCTGAACACCCCCCAAATCCGTCCTACAGCCYGAGGATGCTCTACAACCTCACTGGAAACACCCGGAACCCAGGAACACCCCATAAGAACCCCGACCCTCCCTCCTACAGCCCAAGGATGCCCTGCAAGACTCCCCACCTGAACACCCGGAGCCCAGGAACACCCGGAACCCCCTTCCTACAACCCAAGGACGCTGTACAACAGCCGGAGCAACCCCCGCGGGCGCTCGCGACAAGACCCGAAACACCCCCAAGGCCCTTCCGCGCACACCCGGAGACCTCTACAACCCCAGCGGGAACAGCCGCAGCCCGGGAACAGCCGCTAAGCGCCCCGGAAGAGCCCACGGAGCGGGTACAACCCGCCAGGGCCTGGTCCGTTTCCACCACCGAGACCCCGCGACCGCGCGAGGAGGCCGCTCGAGACCCCGCGGCGGCGCTACAGGCGGCGCAACAGGCGCGCGGGCCACTGACGCGCTCGAGGAAGACGTCGCGCTTGGTGAACTTGCGCACGGCGGTGAGGGTGTCCTGCACGATGCCCATGACGGGCCGGTTGGACTGGGGGGTGACGATCATGCGGGGCACCATGGCCAGCTCCTGGATCTCGGCGCGCGTCTCCAGCGACTGCGGCAGGTGCAGGTTCATCTCGTCACCGTCAAAGTCCGCGTTGTAGGGCGTGGTGACGCTGCGCGAACAGGCGGCGTCAGGCGGACGGCCGCGGCGGTGCCGGGGTTGGGGTCGTGGGGGGTGTTTTAGGGAGAGCCGGAGGGTTTGGGGGACGTTGGGATCTCCATTGGGGTTGGTTTGGGGTCAAGGACGTGGTTTGAGGGACACCTGGACACTCCGGGGGACATTCGGACCTCCACTGGGGTTGGTTTGGGGTTGCGGGGGTGTTTTAGGAACACCTGGACCATGTAGGGGACATTGGGACCTTCACTGAGGTTGGTTTGGGGTCAAGGACGCTGTTGTAGAGACACCTGGACACTCTGGGGAATGTTGGGATCTCCACTGGGGTTGGTTTGGGGTCAAGGACGTGGTTTGAGGGGCACCTGGACACTCTGGGGGACATTTGGACCTCCATTGGGGTTGGTTTGGGGTTGTGGGGGTGTTTTAGGAACACCTGGACCACATGGGGGACGTTGGGACCTTCACTGAGGTTGGTTTGGGGTCAAAGATGCTGTTTTAGAGACATCTGGACAGTTTGGGGAATGTTGGGATCTCCACTGGGCTTGGTTTGGGGTTGTGGGGGTGTTTTAGGAACACCTGGACCATGTAGGGGACATTGGGACCTTCATTGAGATTTGGTTTGGGGTCAAGGACGCTGTTTTAGGGACACTTGGACACTCTGGGGGACACTGGGACCTGTAGCGAGGCACAATTTGGGGTCAATGATGGAGATTTTGGGACACCTGGATGGTTTGGGGGCATTGGGACCTCCATTGGGGTTGGTTTGGGGTCAAAGAYGCWGTTTTAGGGAYACTTGGACACTTTGGGGGGACGTTGGGACCTGCACTGGGGTTGGTTTGGGGTCAAGGACACAGTTTTGTGACACCGGGACAGTTGGGGGGACATCAGGACCTGCAGCGAGGCACAATTTGGGGTGAAGAATGGAGATTCAGGGCTTTGGGGGACACCAGGACCTGCGCTGGGGCTGGTCTGGGGTCAAGGGCGTCCTTTTGGGGACACTCGGGGAGACCCCAGGCCCTGCAGCAGGGCAGGTCCGGGGTCAAGGCCACTTTCGGGGACACCAGGACAGCCTGGGGGACACCGGGCCCCACAGAGGGGCCCGCTTGGGGTCGACGGAGCAGACGTGGGGACAGCGTGGGGGGCCGCCGTGGGGCGGGAGCCCCGGGGCTACCTGAGGTTGAGGCGGAAGGTGGACCAGGGCAGGATGCGCACGCGGTGGCCCATCATGGACATCTTGTGCAGCGTGGGCTGCCGGTTGAAGATGACGATGTCGCCGTCGCACATGTGCCGCTCCACCTGGCGACCACGGGGCCCGCGTCACCGCCGGGGGCCCATAGACCCTCCCCAAGCCCATAAATGTCTCCCAGAAGCCCAAGGGTCACTGAGGACCCCCCAAAACCACCAGCTGCACCCCAAAGTTGAGGTTCTCAAGAGGTTCCTCGAGGTTCTCCAGAGGTTCCTCGAGGTTCTCCAGAGGTTCCTCATGAACCACGACAGAACCAGCCCCCGAGGAGCTCCCGGGGGACCCCAACTCCCCCTGGGGGGACCCCAACTCCCCCATGGCTCCACGCTGGGGTCCCCCCGGGCGTCACCTTGTAGCCGATCTGCAGGTGGAGGTCGCTGGGCTTGGGGTGGAAGCGCAGGTCGATGCGGTCGCCGTTGTCCCGGATGATGTACTTGGCGCCGGGGTACTGGCTGTTGCCCCGGCGGACCAGCTCCTGCAGCCTGGGGAAGGGGGGCACCGGGGGGGTTTGGGGGGGTCCTGGGTGCCCCCCGAGTCCCCATCCTCCTGTCCTGGGGGCCCCAAGGTTCTCAGGGGTCCCCAAATGGTCCTGGGTGCCCAAAGCTCCCCTGTTGTGCCCCACGGGTTCTCCTTGTGCCCCATGGGGTCCCAACGGGTTCTCCTTGTGCCCCATGAGGCCCCATAGGGTCCATGGGCGTCCCCCAACCCCAAAGGGTTCCTAGGTGTCCCCTAGGTCCACCATGACACCTCCCCCCAAGGCCAAGTGGGGGCCATGACTTCCCGGGTGCCCCCAGGGCCACCCGAGTGCCCCCACATGGTGCCCATGGGGTCCTGGGGTGTCACCGTGACCCCCATGTCCCCTAGGGCTCCCTCATGGTGCCTATGGGGTCCTGGGGTGTCACCATGACCCCCATGTCCACCTGACGTTGACGTCTTCACGGAGGAGCGCGTTGGCCACGGGACATAGACCCAACAACGACAACCCGTTGGGACTGTTGGGTTGACGTTGACCCAACACTCGCACCATAGACAACGAGCATTGACGYTGACGTCAACGCGCTTCTCCACAAAGGCCACGGGACGTTGACCCAACAACGTCAACCAATTTGGACCGTTAGGCTGACGTTGACATCGATGAGCTCCTCCATGATGGCCATGGGACATTGACCCAACGCAACAGTTGCATCATGGACAACGCGCATTGACGTAGACATCAACGCGCTCCTACATGAGCACCACAGGACGTTGACCCAACAACGTCAACCCATTAGAACTGCTGGGTTGACGCTGACCCAACAGTCGCACCGTAGACAAGGCGTGTTGACATTGAGGTCAACGTGCTTCTCCACAAAGGCCAAGGGACATTGACCCAACAACGTCAACCCGTCGGGGCCCCTGGGTTGACGCTGACCCAACAACGTCAACCCGTCGGGGCCCCTGGGTTGACGCTGACCCAACAA